CTCTCTGAGCATTCCCTTGCCTGCTGACTCCTTAATTTCACCTTTGTCACTGTTGTTACTAGTAAACTTCCTCATGTGTCTTGTTCACACTAGTTCCTATGTTTAGCTGCCTTAAAGCTGGTGTAGCCAGTCTCTTGAGGATTCCTCTCTCTGAATTATCCCTTACACAGGGGTAGAGGAACCATGTCCGGCTCCTAATACCCCCCTCATGTCTGTCTAAGGAAAAGGCAGTACTCCTGTCCTTCCCCATAGCTGGAATGTCCCTGGAGGCTGTGCTGGCAGTTGGCTTGTTCTTGGCAATAATGTGCACATAGGGCCCTAGCCAGGATTTGCAAGAGTACAAACAGCACCACAGTATCTCATCTCCTGAGCTGTGCCAAGCACTCTGCAGCTGAGGCATAGGTCCGGCACTAGGACTTTTTGCACCATATCTCATATACCAGTGCAGAAATAAATGGAATGGATAAAAACAATCCTATGCCCAGTTTACACAAGCACTCCTGAAGCTGCGAGTGCTAAAAGAGCTACATCAATGCTGGGTAGTAGTGCAAAAAATTCCAGAGTGGATTCATACTTGTAGACTCCAGGAAAGCAGCATATACTATGAATTCAAGAGTGAAATGAAGTCTCCACAAAATGCTGGCAAGTGCACAGAGTAGAAAAGATGCTTTGTTCCTTTCCCTTTCTTTTTTTAATCTGATCACCATTTTTGCAAGTTGACAATGCCCAATTTATTTTTACTTTTGTTTATCATAGCCAAGGCTGGTAGCACCACCTATTAAGGTTGCCTGACACTTCCCAGTAGAAGACCCCTGTTTTCAGCTGCTTATAATTATGCCAAACTTTAACAGTTTGGGCTGAAATTTGACAAGTTAGGTGTTTGCCTCAGGCAGAACTACTTAGAACATTTCAATTGAAATGGTTCAATTGTGTCTGAGCATGAAGCAAGCAGAAAATATGTTAGGGTACAATGTTAAGAAACCTTTGCTTTCACAAGTTATAACACCCCCTTTTGGGAGAGAGTTAAAATTTGCAGGGAATTAAAATTTGACAGGTTCAAGTTCTTTCAGAGATGGGCCTTTTGCTGTTTCTGGGAAGATGTGTCCAATTTGTCCCAGCTAAGGGTTTTTAAAGATTGCCATTGGCACATTTTTGACAGAGGCTTCTTAGCATTCCCAGGGATTCTGCGCATGCTGAGTTTGGCTCATGTGCCCACAGATCCTGGGTATACCTGGACTGTACACGTGTTATCACCACAGAACAAGTAGTGCCTTGCCTACATGGTAAACTTACAAGGCATGGAAGCAGCACCTGCAGGCATGTTACATTACTCCAAGTGGGCTGCCTCCTAAACCAAAAACAGTGTAGCTCTCTTTCTGTAATGCCAGGAGCAGGTTAATTAGCATGGGGGAAAGGGCTAATTGGCACTGCCACTCAGCCATGCTAATTAACCTGCCCAAAGTCTTATTCAGATATAGTTTGCAGTTTAGAAAGCTTGAAAGTGCTGCTGGCAGGCACAACAAGTTTACCAAGTAGGCATGGCTCAAGTTGCTGTACTCCCCAGTCTATAGCATGGAGGCTTAGAAACCTTTCCCTGTAATTACTGTTCCAGACCAGTAACCAAGGAACTTGTGTCTTCTGCGACCCTCTGGTGGCATTTGGGGAGTGTACCAGAAAAAGTTGCCTGACTTAAATACAGAGAGGAGGGAAGGGAATAGATTGGCCCAAGTAGTCTGGTGAGGCTGACACTAGAAGTAAGAAAGAGAGAATAAGGAGACAATAAAATATTGAACAGCTGCTCATTGTTTTATCCCTTCACAATGCAGCAGGGGTCCTTTAGGGAAAAATCATCTGTGATTGTGTAAGCAAAGGCTATAACAATGCAACTGTGCAAAGCGCCCAACCTGAGGCTTTGCAGTCCACTTCTATTCAGGCAGTTCCTATCTGTTAAATTGGGAAACCTGCTTTAATAATGTTGTACAGTCTTTGAGCAGGAGAGGTGTTTATAGACATGCTCTGGGAGGTGTGTGT